CTCATACCTTAACATCAAAAGCTTATATGTGTATAGCTCCTCACATGACACGATACATTATCAAATCATTTGATATTAATTCTTTGAGTCATCTGTTAGATGGGGAAGCCAAGAGACACTTTGATCATTGTTATCCTGACTTTGTAGTTGAACCATGTATGTAATATAATTATTATGTTCAAAGTAAACATAATTATATTTTAGAACTTCAAATAGGTTAATAATCCAAGCAACAGAGTTACAAATCATGGCTTATTAGATCTTGCTTGGTGGTCTAATTACAGTGTAACTATGTGGCGAATATTTGATTAGAATGGTTTAAGATTTCACACGAGTTTTTGGTGTGAAGGGAAGCAGTCGTATAATAATGGTATTTGTGTTAGAGGAATCACTCATTTATATGTGGAGACCCACTATCATTGTATACTTGAAGAATTAGTTCAGTTTTGATACACAAGTTATGTTACATGTATGTTCAACTGTGAGTGATTTGATTCTATTCATAATCAAAGAACATAGACACTGATCCCATATGATATTAACAAAGTTAAAATAATCCAATGACACGAAAAGTTAGATTCATTTGTTCTTGCATATCAAACTGCTCGAGTTTATTATTTACAAACCTTAATAAAACAATAGATAAAATTGATTGAGCCGTCATTATGAATAATAAACCAGTAATAACCATTGAGATGCAAAATATTATTGAACCTATTTTTCAAGAGCAAGATATGTCAGATTTTTGTATTTAGTTTGAACAAATTAAGGTAATGTTCACCATAGAGGATATAACGAAGGTTTGTTAAGAGGTTTATCAAATTTTGGATGACAATGTTGATGATACAAATTACAAAATTTAAGTTCATCAATGACTAAATCATCTAACAAAACTGATTAAGAGTGATGTGTATATTAAGATTTTGTCGCTTTATATTATGCATCTTCTTGCTTTTACTTTTTGTTATTTTTACATGCAGTTACATCAGTTTCTTATTTTGATTTGTCACTTTTCTACTTTTACTTTTACTACTGATGGTGTGCTCTCATGCTTACTTTTGTTATTTTTAATTTTATTGTTCAACACTAATTTTGTTAATGTTTTCTTTTTTGTTATAAATGGATTCTGTTGGAGGTGGAGTTCAGTCACCACAACAACCTCACTCGATGGGACCGAGCACTTACAGGAGGACAAAGAAATCAGTATCCTTCTCTGCCTCATACAACACAAGTGATGTATTGATTAGCAACACCATCGCCATTGTAGTCTCTATTGTACCTTCTGTCATCTCTCTGATCAGACCTACTACTTCATTCCATCCACCTGCTCCTTCCACTATAGCCCCTGTCACGCCTTTTTTGATAACTCAACCATCACCTTTTACTCAGCAACCATCCTTCTTTCAGATCCACAGTTCTTCTCGGATGATTCGGGCCCCTCCACTATCCCTTTTGAGATAGGATACCTCTTAACAGATATACATTAAGTCAGACTCATGTGTTATTTTTTACTAATGATCTTTTCAATATTTTATATAACTAATATTTCTATTTCAAATTATATCCCTCTCAGGCGCCTGTGACATGCATCACAAAGATCATAAGGAGTAGGTATGATACTCCATGTCTCATTTAGAAGTAGATCATGTCAACAACTCAGGACATGTAGTTCAAAGAGTTTGAGCTAGGATCATTTAATTTGAATTAGAATTATAATTTCAAGTTATTTTATTATATTAATAAATATTGCATAATTTTTAATTTGCAAAGGTCCTTCCAGTGTCTTTCAGGGCAGCACCAGTTAATCTGCCACTTTTTTTAGGTTAGGGGAGGCATCGACTAAGTGATATGTTCACCACAACTCGTAGGAAGGGGGAGCAACATATCTGGGTTAGGATGGAGGTTTGGCCTCAGTTTACCAGAGTTTGGGCCTCTCTTGATTATTAGAAGAAGAGGTAAACCAACCAACAGAACATGTGGATCGAAGGGCCAGGGGCTCCAAATTGGAGGCTCGGCCAATGTAAGTAACTGAAAACATGTGGATCGAAGGGCCAGGGGCACCACACTCCAAATTGGAGGCTCGGCCAATGTAAGTAACTGAGTGATTTTCTATGTTTTTTACACTATTAATATAAAATTCTAATTAATCCTTTGTTCTAACTATGTAGGATGAGTATGGGCACATCCAAAATATGTAGAGGAGGAGGGCGAGTGTGATCCTGACAATCGTCAACAACAGTAGCCAATTTACCACTACATAACCTGATTTTGATATTTAGAGGCAGGTGACTCGGAAAAAGAAGAGGAGAGTGTATGACTTGGAGCCAAGGAAATCTGCCTTTGAGGCAGAGTTTTTCTATGCTCCCCAAGGTGGTTGTTGGTCATCATTATCAGACCATAAGGAGCTTGCCCAGTGCATCATTACTATGAGTGACAATATCCATTAGTTGCGCGAGAGCAACTATAGAGTTGAGGACACTTTCTCAAAACCGACTGAGTATATTATAGATTGACGTGGCAAGCAAACCTTAGGTTCTGAAATTATAGTAATTTTCTCTTATTGTAAATGAGAAATATTATTATTAATTTGTATATGAATTCTGTGTAAAGATGTGAAATTTTATACATTTAACTTAGTGTTTATTGAATTAATTTTTTTTCGTTGTTGGTATTTATTTGTGCATAGGTTTTGTGTTGTGCTAGAGGATAAGTAAATATTTATGAGATTAATATTCATTGTGTACAGGTTCTGAAATATATATTTATATATATATATAATTTGCTATAGGTTTGCATTGGATTTACGCTGAAAATTTTTTATAGTAATGCCTTCGATAATTTTTGACGCATTTCAATACATTCCAATCCTAAATAACACCCTCTCCAACATGTATGATTAACAGAAAAGAATACACAAATTTGCGTCCGCCAAAAATAGACGCAAAGTCAGCAGTTGACATTTGCATCAATATAGAGTGAGTCAAATTCAGTTACATCAATATTGTTTGACGTTAAAGCCGACACAAACAGTTAGTGTCATAAATTTTTGATGCTACTTGCATTTCAAACCCTGGTTTTTGCATGGACCAATTTTCTGACGCTAAAACTACTTTTCTTCGAATTATCTCTATATTAACGTCATATTCATCCTACACTAATATGCAAAAATCCTGTTGTGTTTATTTAATTAACTGATATACAATATTATTTTTTATATGAGTGATTGATGTGTTAGTTTAATGATATCCTCATCTTTGAGTTAAAAACATAACAAATTTATATTCTTATAAAATATTTTACTTAACATGCAAATTTAGGAGGTGAATAATGATTTTATTGAGACAAATGTCATACTATATTAATTTGTGGCACATCTGAATCCATATAACTTATACAATAAATTCAACAATGATAAGCAAATTAGAATGTCTCAATTTTATCAAAATTATTTTCCAATAAGATATCTAAGTTCCTCTTAGAAATTTTTTTTTTTTGATAGATGATTTAATGTATAAATTGTATAAATTTCTTCTTTAAAGAAATTGGATAACATATTCAAAAGTAAAAATGCTACTTTATATTCATTATTTTTAAGCAATTAAAACTAGCATTAATTTTATATGTTGTGTTTTACCATGAATATTCTGAATAATTGCTATAAAATAGAATAGAAAATCAATGAATGACATTTTGTGGCTTATATAAAGAAACATATGATATTAACAATGAAGTAATCTTGTAACGCTTTCATAATACCATGAATAGATTCTCTTAATAACAATTTATTTCATCTTCAAACAAATTTTCTCTTATACATATTTTCTAAATTGCTAATGTCAAGTGTGGAGATAGGATGAAAAATATTAAAGATATTTGTAGAACTATCAAGTTGTAATTTTTTCAAGACAAAATTCAGACATCCCCACTAATAAGACTTGATCAAAAGTTATAGTTTTGATTTTTTTTTATAATCATAGATAATCTATGTATCACAATTCCATGATCTAACTACCTTAATTTAGAAGATAAAGGAATGTCACAAATTCTATCTCTTTAATCACTATAACCAATCATATAATTATTTGGATTGCTCTAGTTGAAGAGGGTGATTTATGAATATTTCATTCAAATATTTCTTGCACTTAGAGAAAACTAAGGTTGCGTTCGGCGCAGTGGTACGGTACCGCACTACATTTTTTTTTCCTGTGTTTTACCCACGTTCTTAAAAAAACTACAACTAAAAAGCCACATTCTCTCACAAGTTCTGGATATATGCATTAACTGTTAGGAAGCTGCTGTAAGACTTTTTTAAAGTTTTTTTATAACGAGCACCATAATTTTTTGAACTTCTTTTTTCAGCAACTTCACGAGTCACAACAGCCTCTTCAAATCACTGCAACTGCCCCAAAAGACTCTAAGAAGCTAAACATTTCTGTCTCTGTCTATACCTCTAACTTGATCATTATCTACTTACACGAAGACATTGTTGAAAGTACTTTCTAAAATAATTTTCTTATAAAAAGTGTCAATATTTTAAATACAAATAAATGATTAGAAGTCACATATTATTTTTATTACTTATCAACAATAGTATCATTTATGATACAAGATATCTATAGGGTTTCATTTGCAAAAAACACAAGCAAAATATAACAAGGGAGCGAGTTGAGTTAGCTTGAGCTCGACTTGATGAGCGGCTCATGAACTGAGCTAGATGAACTAACAAGCCAAGCCCAAACTTGAACGGTCACATCGAAAAATTGCTAATATAAATTATATTCAAAATAAATTGAACTAAAAAATTTTATTTTTAAAATATTAAAAAATATTTTATATCTTATAATAAACAAATAATAATTATTTTTTTCTTAATTATTCATTATACTTATCATTTTTCTATAACATTATTTTAATTAATGTTATTTTTTTATAGTGAATAAAATTATACATGAACCAATTCGAAATCATAAACAATATAAAAACAATCATAAAACCCAAATCGAGCGTGGCTCGAGGTGCCTGGTTCGTTTACACAACCTGCCCCACGTTCCTAGATTTTTTGTTTTTAGCTGGTTTGCTCTGGATTGCTTCATCCGCATCTTTACCCGTCTTTGGCTTCCGAGCTGCGGGGTAGCCAGCAGGAGAAGAGCCAGCACGATGGCAATGGCTTCCACACCCGGGAAACTCACATACCCTCAGTTTCACGGGCTGCGTCGTACGTCTCTCATGCCCTCTACCTTCCACCCCCTCTTTTTGCGCCGTACCGGCGCCGCCGCATCCAGCAGATCTTCCGGCGGAGTCGTCGCCATGGCCGGCACTGGCAAGGTGACTAGATCACTCACTGGTATTTTTACTCAGTTTATCATCCGTTCATAGTGATTATTTGTATTTGGAACTGATTTGCGGAGATCTGGAAGTTGTTTGAAATTTTATGTAATACAGTGAGACTTTCGTTTTACTTCAAGAGATGGATTCTTTCAAAGATTATGCTCTAGGGTTTTGTTCTGTAGCAGTACGGTATCTAAGCATTGCCATGATTGAATGCAATAATTTCACAATATTCTTACCGTAAATTTTTTTTTGCTGAATCTCTGTGCGGCAGCTACAACTTATTAATAAGTTGCTGCACAGCAGTTGACCCAGAAAACTGATGCGTAGAAGCTGCTGAACTAACTATCCCGTTGTTTAATGTTGTTTGAAAACAGCTGCGACACATCTATTTATGGATAAATGATTATTCTGTCCTGTGTAGTAATGCTATTTGTAATATATTGTTATAGCAATATATTTGATACTTTACAAACAAAAATCCACTACAGAACAGTGCAAAAAAATAAGATATACATCCCACTTAGCAGTGAGTATCATTATTACTAAAATAAAAAAAAATTATTAAAAAAATATTTAATAATATGATAATATTATTTTTAAAATGGAGGTGATGTATGTCACAAATTTGACCGTCCTCCAGGAATACCATCAATTCCCGATCACTCTCAGTGTAGAATCTGCTTGCCAGTTTGCCTATTGGAAGAAGTCACACTTATCTGTGATTCTCTGCGGGCACCTGTAGAATTATCTCCCATAGCCATGTGTCTGACGTGACATGAGCAGGGAATTTCGTAGTCCGCTGTGGCATAACACTCATCGGGAGGTCTCTGAAATCCTTAAACTCATCTTTTTTGAATGCTTCAAAAGACAATTCATTAGTCACAGTATACCAATGAACGAATCTATCACCACAAGAAGACAATTGACCTTAGAAAAAAAAAATTCTTGGTTGTCTTTAATCCAGATAATACTAAGTTCGTGTGTTTCACATATATATATCACCAAAAAAGACCATCCAGAAAAATTTCAAAAGTCATATCGCCTAAAAGAGAAAGTGAGGAATTTGATTGTCTTCAATAATATTTTACATGTGACAACAACCAATACCGACAGTCAGGCCACTCAGAAGAACTTTAAGGTCTAATGTCTCATCATAGACTTCTCAAACCCACAAAAAGAAAAATAAAAGAAACAAAAAAGAAAAAAAAAACTTTTAAATGCAGGAAAAAACCTGAACAATCATTATCAAATGTACGTGGAATGGACATAAATATGAACAATATAAAGTGAACGAACATAAATTGATAAACAAAGTGATTAGTTATATTTTTTAGTAGGCGCGAGGTTTCAGAAAAGTCAAAAGACCAACCAACGAATTTGTCACTACAAGAAGACAACGAACTTTGTAAAAAAAGGTTCTTGTTGCCTTTAACCAACGTAATATCAAGCTCGTGTGTTTCATATATGCATATCAACAAAATGAACGATTCAAAAGAACCTCAAAAACTGCGATATCGAAAAGAAGAGAGATACTTGGTTACCTTCATTAGGATTCACATGCGACACCAACCAACAATGACTAACAAACCATCTAGAAGAACCCATAAGGTCAAACGTCTTATCACAGACCTTTCAAATCCACCGAAAGGAAAAAAAAATAAATGGAAAAAGAAAAAAAATAATTATGAAACATCGCAAAAAGCTCAAACAAATAATATTAAATATACAAAGAACATAAAATAAACATGAATTGTATAAAATAAACAAAATCTGCTCCATCATTCCTCTCATTGATTCATTCTGTGATAAGATGTAGAGTGTTATTGTTAACCTTTCTCTGATTGTCATTGTTGAGGAGCCATGAAGTTCATGGTTCTTATGTAGTTCATCAAGCAGATCCACAAATATAAGCTGTGTCATACGAAACATGTTGCTGAATCTTGTAGGGTGTTCTTGTAGTAGCTCCCCAACCCATTTATCACCAATGTAAGTAAATGTCATGTAGGGAGTTTGATCACCGTATGAGTTGTAGTATTAGTACAATATATAAACTGCTGTCACAATTTTTCTTCTGCGCCTCTCTCTTTATGAATCCATACTAAAGAAGTACTGTGTTCATGTATTACATGTCAATCAAATAATGTTAAAGAACATAAAAAATCAAATTAAAAAGCGTATAATAAGAAGACGAATATACGAAATAACATATAGATTGATCTTACAAAAAGGGAAAAAACATCCAAATCAGATATTCGATCAAACTATAGGAAAATAAATACTAATTGTTCAACGGTAACAACAATAAATCAGTCATCCTTGTTGCTAAAAGAGAAAAACGTAAATAATTGACCCTACGGTCAGGAGTCATCTTCATGAAGATTTGTATACGGGTCGGGTCCTCCAACAATTTCAAGGAGTTCAAATATAACTACATATTCTCAAATGAATAGGCTCGTCCATGGAGGTCGCATGTGAAGTCCCAGGATCACTCATGCATGAAGCCATAAGTTTTTTCATTTGACTTATGATGAAAGAAGGGACCTTTTTTTTCCTTTTCTCCATTTTAGGACACTTTCACCTGCTTGTAGACTCTAGTTTATTTTGGTTTGGCTTTGCGCCTTTGCCGGAGCCAGTTACATTCTCGACATCTAAGTCCTTTGGTATGCTTACAAACCCTTGCTCACTAGGAGTTTAGACATGAGTCCCCGTTGTTATAACCCTACTAAACATACAATTCAACTTTTCTTCCAGATCATGGTCAATTCCACTGAGTTTGAATTTCTTGACAGTTAGCACTGCTTGCAATGTGTGTACAAGTTGATTACTTCATATAGTTAAGGAAGAGAAAGTAATGAAAATAAAGTCTTTTAGTGATAAGTTATTACATTTAATTTCTCAACCCACCATTCCTCCGAAACATCAATGGTCCGTTTGATTAGATCCCAAACCAAGCCCGTGGATCCCCGCTTTAATTCCTTTCATATTTTTCGATTTTTTTGAACTGATCCCACTTGTTCTTAAATTTTAACCTGTCGTATTATCTTATTGTCATTTTCTTGAACTTTTTCATAATATTTTTTCACCATTCCTTGTAAAATATATAATGGATCTATTTCCTAGCCCAACCTTCTTAAGACAGATGTCACATAATATGAGTTAGGATTCCCTATCTCACATGGTTGATGAACCGACTTCTTTAGTCTTAACTGTTGCGTTACTAGCATACAACAACAACAACAACAACAATGTTTGACAATAACCACAACACACAACACAACAAGACCCACAACCACAACCACACATTCGCACACATCCCACAACCACCACATCACATGACACAATCACCCCAACCACCCAACTCTCAGCACAACCACCACAACCCACAACATAGCACACAACACAACCACCTTCTTTAGTCTTAACTGTTGCGTTACTAGCATAAAAAAATAAAATATTAATGTTTGACAATAACCACAACACACAACACAACAAGACCCACAACCACAACCACACCTTCGCACACATCCCACAACCACCACATCACATGACACAATCACCCCAACCACCCAACTCTCAGCACAACCACCACAACCCACAACATAGCCCACAACACAACCACTCAGCCCAATGCCACTATATCACAACCACCCAACCACACCTCCACACACATCCCACATTCACCATACCATAAGACACAACACCACAGGTCCACAACAACCCAACCCACAACCATCAAACCAATACCAACCACTCTCTCACACACATCCTACAGACACCACATCACAGAGGCACAATACCACAACCCAACCCACAACACAACCACCACAACCCATATCACAGTCATTGGTTTTAAGTGTTCTGTATGTAATTTGAAGAAAACATTGCCATCTACAAATCAAGCATCCTATTTCATTCATTTTTGAAATTCTCATTCAAACATGAAAGATAGTGATAAAACCCCATCCCATATTTGCCATTTGAGGCAATTACATGCAGGACACTCGAAACGTTGCTATCTACAAATTAAGCATCATCTTTCATCCATTTTTCAAATTCTCGCTCAAACATCAAATCCATAATTTTGAATTGAGGCAATTACTTACAGGGCACCCGAAACAATGCTATGTACAAATCAAGCACCCTATTTCATCCATTTTTCAAATTCTCACTCAAACATTAAAGGAAATGATAAAACCCCATCTTATATTTTTCATTTAAGACAATCACAAACAGTGTAGCCGAAACAATGCTATATACAAATCAAGCACCCTATTTCATCCATTTATCAAACTCTTTCTCCAACATGAAAGGAAATGATACCCCTTCCCCGTCCCATATTTTTCATTTGAGGCAATTACATACAGGGCACCCGAAACGTTGCTATCCACAAAAATAAGCACCATATTTCATCCATTTTTCAAATTCTCTCTCAAACATCCATCCCATAGTTTTCATTTGAGACAAGTGCATACAGAGCAACCGAAACAATGCTACGTACAAATCAAACACCCTATTTCATCCATTTTTCAAATTCTCACTCAAATGTCAAAGGAAGTGATAAAACCCCATCCCGTATTTTTCATTCGAACATCAACAAAATAAACATTGCTATCTACAAAATAAACATCTTATTTTATCCATTTTCGAACATCAACAAAATAAACATTACTATCTACAAAATAAACATCTTATTTTATCCATTTTTCAAATTCTCATTCAAACATCAAAGGAAGTGATAAAACCCCATCCCATATTACACATAGGGCACCAAAAACGTTGGTATCTACAAATTAAGCACCCTCTTTCATCCATTATTCGGATTCCTATTAAAAAAAAAAAAAATTGTACATAATTTTTAAAAAAAATAAAAAAAAATTGTAGGTAATTTTGAGGACACCCAATATGTACAAATCAAGCGCTGAATTTCATCTATTTTTCAAATCCTCACTCAATAAAAAAATTGTACATAATTTTGAGGACACCCAATATGTACA